GTAAAAGGGACACACCTTAACACACCTTAACCAGAGACCCATTTAGTCAGTCACAAAACCACCCTGATGTCATTTTTCCAGATGCTCAGCTAAACTATCTACTGACAAGAAAAGTTCCAGCCTCTGTGATGTTCCATAAATAATGAATTTCTTGAAGAAAAAGGCAAACAAAAATTTAACCAACATGAAAAAGAGAAAAAGATTCTATCCCTTGCCATGACCTGCTGGGAAATAATTATGCTTTGAAGTTGTATCTGTCCTCTGATTTTCAGACAACAAAGTCTGAAATGAATTGTGTCTCCTCATTAGTACCTACACTAGTGAATAAAGGGCTTTTGTGCTAGAGATGATAAACCACAAACAAAATCTTCTTCTGGGATGTTGGTGGCAATAAAAATTTTCATTTTGTAAATGTCAGCACACTGAATTCAGGAAATACTTGGAGGAAGATATCCACACAAGAGAAAAGCCAAATGGTAATCATATGGCTTTTCTCCACCTTGAAAAAAAAGAATAAAGACGTTAAAAAGGAGGAGGGTCTATGTCTTAAAGAAGGGAAGGCAGTCAGATCCTCTCCGCACCCATAGTAAAAGTTTGAATGTGAGAGCTTTGGAATTAAAATCACAGATTCATTTCTATTTCTAATCTAACTGTAGCAATGACTCATTTCATTTCCTGGTATTGATATATTGATATTAATTTTACAGTCCTTGCTGTAAATGACCTTGTTGAATGATTGCCTTAAAAAACAGTCTGTTGGCTGGGAGCGGTGGCTCATGCCTGTAACCCCAGAACTTTGGGAGGCCAAGGTGGGCATATCACTTGAGGTCAGGAGTTCCAGACCAACCTAGCTAACATAGTGAAACCCCATCTATACTGAAAATACAAAAAAAAATTAGCCAGGCCTGGTGGCAGGTGCCTGTTATTCCAGCTACTCAGGAGGCTGAGGCAGGAGAATTGCTTGAACCCTGGAGGCAGAGGTTGCAGTGAGCTGAGATTGCACCACTGTACTCCAGCCTGGGTGACAGAGTGAGACACATCACACACACACACACACACACACACACACACCACAGTATGTTAACTAGGGCATGGTAGTAGAGAAAAATAAATCCTTAAGCAATGTCTGTTTCTTTGAAATATCAATCAATTTTACTTGAAATGACAAAAACATCCAATTTCTTTTAACAGAAAAACTGGCCACAGCACATTGGAAATCATGTAAATAAGGCAATCTGTTGATTTTTTTTTGAAGTTCATTTTTTCACCTTACTTTCCCAAGCCCAGCCTTGGAGCAACACTTAACTGTGAGAAACAATCCAGTGGAATTGTAAAAGAAAAATTAAATTTAAAAGTTAAAAAAAGAGAGAGAGAGAAAGAGTAAAAAAAACTGTGAGAAACAAATTACTTCTTTCTGTATACAACTAGCTCAGGGAGTCATTTGCTGAAGACTAAAAATAAAGTTTTTAATTACTTTGCTTTGCTGATGACTTTTTATTAAATGTCAGTTATTTTCCTGCCTTCTGTGCCTCTCTCAGAAAAATAAGTGCTGAGGGGAAGGCACTGGAGAAATTAGCTGTGTCCAAACTGGTGATTTTTACAGTTTTTTGTCAAAGTTTTGGAGAAATGAAAAGGAATGATCTCATGGAAAAATAAGTGGTGTTATGCTAATTTTCCTCTTGATACTGGATGATTAGGCTTGTTAAAAAATAGTCAATATAGCCTGAAACATGTGACTGATGCCATGTATTTTGTGCATATTATCCTAATGTCATCAATCCCAGATCATTTCTCTTTTAAGGTCTGTAGTTCTGGGCTGGACTCATATCCCAAAGTCCAGCAAAATCCTTTCTGTGGATCTCAGTTGCACAATTTTCCAAGTCCAGTAGAAAACATGCAAAGGGCTTGTCTAAGTTAAGGCTTCCTCACTCTTCCTAAATCATACTTCTTTAATTTAACTATATCTCTCTACACTATCACCCAAGTCATAAGGAATCAGGTTAGACTTAACCTTTATAGAATAAATATTTTAAGCTATGCTATGAACAAATAAGTTACATTATTAAATTAATGGAAAAAGAAACTATGCTTTATATACATACAGGCACACAGGCGCGCAAACAGACACACATCTCAACACAGTCATAACAGTGGTTTCTCAGACCTAGGCAGGACAACTACACTTTGACCAGAGAATTTCCTTATCTATAATTTCTTAATGGAAGGTAAATACAGAGAAAGGAAAATCACACAAGAAGCTTTGCGCCATTTGATTAGAATGAATCATAATTTTTTTTTTTTTTTTTTGCTCTGTTGCCCAGGCTGGAGTGCAGGGGTGCCATCTCAGCTCACCGCAACCTCTCCCTCCCAGGTTCAAGCAATTCTTCTGCCTCAGCCTTCCAAGTAGCTGGGATTACAGCTGTGCCACCACGTGTAGCTAATTTTTTTGCATTTTTAGTAGACATGGGGTTTCACCATGTTGGCCCAGCTGGTCTCCAACTCCTGACTTCAAGTGATCCACCCGCCTAGCCCTCCCAGAGTGCTGGGATTGCAGGCATGAGCCACTGTGCCTGGCCAGATCATACATTTTTTTGTGTTATCATTATTTTCTTGCTCAAAAGTTTTCTTACTGGAAAAGACTGTGTAAAAGTGTCCCCTTCACTCCCATCCCTTTCCTTCTTTATCAGATAGCTACTCGGTATCTAATGCTAAAAGGTATTGGGAAAGTGAATTGGCATTTGAAAAGTAAATCTATCTCAAAGTAGAAAACAAAGACCCTATGTGTGTGAACTCTCCAACCGCTTAGCTAGCTAGTGCCCTTTTAGTAAACTTTCTAAAGAAAACGTGCAAAGCTTTGAGTCTTACCAAAAACTTTTCAAAAGAGAGTGAAAAAGTGGATGACAGATAAGTGTTCACAAAGCACATCAGAAAAGTATTTGGTGTACAAGTACCAGTGTTAAATAGTTTTCAGTCAGGGTTGCCTTCCCTTGACTGTCTGACAAATTAAGAAATTTTAACTATTTACTTTAAAATCAGTTTGAGAGATCCCTTAAAAATAAGGTAAAATAAATATTTACTTTAAAATAAGTTTGAGGGGTCTCTGGAGAATGGAGACAGCAAAACACCATGGCATGTTTGTACCTACGCAACAATCCTGCAAGATCTGCACGTGTACTACCGAACACAAAGTACAAATAAACACTTAAATAAATAAATAATAAAATTTAAAAAATAAGGTTTAGATCTTTTTAAAATAAATTTTAAAGACTCTTAAGAATATATTTGGTAGCTGTAAATGCTTGGTACCAGATAAGAGAATACCTTATCTCGTTGCCAACTCATGTCTTTCATTATATCAAGATGGTTTATAAATATACACAATTTGTGCTCACTGGTACATCAGGCTATAAAGTAAATGGGTATATATGTAACTACTGTACCAAGAGATTGGGGAATCATATTCTTTGGGCTATATACACTTAATGTTTAAGAATAACACCAAATAATTCAGTACAGGAACTGCCAAAATAAATAAGAAAGAAAACTGAAGATACTGGCTTTTCAATGTATCTTTCAGGGAAAAGTAATTGTCCTTATTTAAGCATGACTGTTGACCCCTGTCACTCCAGTTTTTGAGCCAAGTGGGGACCTTTTTCTAACTCTGAGACCAAGTTGAAAGAACATCTTACTCCAGCCCACCAAAGTAACAAGTTCTTTCTGTTAGGAATTGCGATTGTGATATTCTGAGGTTAATTTAACCCTGGATTTACCTGGGTCCATGAAATTACAAATCACAGCATGTTAGATGGAACAGCATAATAATCAACAACACCGGCTCTGGAGTCAGACTAAGGTAATTCAGACCCTGTCTCCAAGAGCTGCCACCTGCACATCCCTGGGCAAATTCCCTTAACGTGCCCACCCCTCAGTCTCTTCACCTGAAATGAAGTTAACTGTAATATCTACCTCCTAGTTATGAGAACTGTGTGCTGCTCAAAGTGCAAGATATATTATCCTCCTCATCATCTTCATTGGGAACTTAAAGAATTTTAATCTAAGAAAATAGATTTTGGCCGATTATAAAAGAAAACTAATTTAGTAATACTGGTATTGTAGCAGCTTCTGTGGTGACTCCAGGATTCACTTTGGAACTCATTCAACTCAGGTAGATAGAATAATTACAATTCGCATTTATCTTGAGAGTCAAGCACTGACTGAGCTAATCCTTTCACATGGATTATTTCATTTTATCCTCACAATGACTTTGAGGTGAGGTTTATTATCATTCCCACTTTACAGATAAGGAAACTGAGGTTTAGAGAGTTTAAATTGTAGCTTAAGTTTAGCTAGTGAGAATCGGACCTGTGGTAGGAACACAGGCAGCCTAAATCCAGAACTTCCAGAACCAGTCTACTTACAGTAGTTCTCTTAAATTAAAAAAGAAGAAGAAGAAAAAGAAAGAAACTAAACAGAAGTTAAGAATTTTTGGCTGGGTGGGGTGGCTCATGCCGGCAATCCCAGCACTTTGGGAGACAGAGGCAGATGGATTGCTTGAGCTCAGGAGTTCAAGACCAGCCTGGGCAACATAGTGAAACCCCATCTCAATGTAAAAATAATAATAATAATAAATTCTTGGGACACTATCAACTAATAGCTAGAAAAACATCACTTAACTCCAAGGGACATTTGTTAAGAGACTATATTGTAGTCTGAGAATCAATGACTTTCAAAATAACACATTGCCATATTACAGCAAAACTACACTTCAAATGTTCAAATTTCATACATTATTAGAAGTTTAAAATAAACCAAGCCAACTGCAAGACCTCAAAAAAATTTTAGAGAAGGAAAGAAATTAAAATTGTTTACCTGTTGCTTGAATTGAGGGGAATAAGTTGAGAACCAAGAGCAGCCTGAGCATCTTTGTCCTGACGATGGGCTAGGGTTCCAGCCCCTCCTCCTTGAGGAACCTGCAGTGTGAGGGGAACTGAAAGACGCACCTGCCAAGGCCTGACAGTCTCCGTCATCCACGGCCACCACCACTGCCACCATCCTCTTAGGGCACATGATCAGGGGACTCAAACCACAAGGCATCCTGACTGCAGCATTTCACACAGGATATAACATTGTTTTGATGACTTTAGACTTTTACTTCTCTTTATAAAGACCTTTTTTTTCTGTCACTGAAAAATAGTGGGTCACTACATGATGGGCTCATGGGAATTATTCTTTATTAATGGATATCAGAGTTGTGGAAAAGGGGTGCTTGAAATCCAGGAGAGATTAAAGGGGAGAAAAAGCGTTCTTAAGATAGAATAGGCTGGGAGTGGTGGCTTATGCCTGTAATCCCAGCAATTTGGAGGCCAAAACGAGTGGATCACTTGAGGCCAGGAGCTTGTGACCAACCTGGCCAACCTGGTGAAATCCTGTCTCCACTAAAAATACAAAAAATTATCCAGGAATGGTGGCGGGTGCCTGTAATCCCAGCTACTAGGGAGGCTGAGGCAGGAGAATCACTAGAACACAGGATGTGGAGGTTGCCATGAGCCAAGATCATGCCACTGCACTCCAGCCAGGGTGACAGAATGAAACCCATCTCAAAAAAAAATGAATGAATGAATGAAGCCTCTCACAGAGGAGAGATTTTCATAGGACCGGGACAGGTTGTGTCGAAAAGACAACAGTAAGAACTCTATTGAGGAATTGGGAAAAGTCTGGATAAATGTTTAAAGAAGTTATAAATATTAGAAATGTAACATTTGTATGGGACATAAGGTAGCCCTCTGGAGCTTTTGGCACACCGTGCTTGATTTATGTCAAGCTTCCTCCAACTCACTAGTAGGAACTTTGCAAAATCCATCCCACTTGCAAGCAACCAGCCAGCTGAGTATCTGGAGGAGGTTCCCTAAGCTAAGGGAAAGTCAAAACAATGCTGTATGTTCTTAGCAGGACGGTAAGGCAACCAAAAGCCCCTTGGCAGCTCATGCTCTCTGTGTCCCTCAAGGTTAAGTAATAGGGCACTAAAGGAGGCGGCTCTGTGGCAGGATTTCTGAGACTCATAACCACTCCTCTGCACTCTGCTTCAACTCCCAGGCCCTTTGCAGAGAAAGTTATTCCACCAGCATGACCAACTGCTCTCCTCTTCTGGTACTCAATGACTTCCTCAAAACTTTTCCAGTAATTTTTTTCTTCTTTCTTGATAACCTAAGCTTTGTGTAACTATTCTAACTATTTTGTGTATGTGGGCTTTTTTTTTTTTTTTTTTAAGATAACTTGTGGCCGGGCGCAGTGGCTCAGACCCAGCACTTTGGGAGGCCAAGGTGGATGGATCACAAGGTCAAGAGATCGAGACCATCCTGGCCAACGTGCTGAAACCCCATCTCTACTAAAAATACAAAAATTAGCTGGGCGTGGTGGCACACACCCCTGGTCCCAGCTACTTGAGAGGCTGAGGCAGAAGAATCACTTGAACCCAGGAGGCGGAGGTTGCAGTGAGCCGAGATTGGCCACTGAACTGCAGCCTGGCGACAGAGCAAGATTTCATCTCAAAAAAAAAAGAAAAGATAACTTGTATCACTTTTTATTCTGACTATAAAATTAAGACATATTTCATAGAGAATGTTTAGAAAAATTATAAACATTAAAACAAGATTCATCCATCATCTTACCACCCTAATATAAACACTGCTAATATTCTAGTCCACTGCCTTGCATCTGTCTGTCTATTAAGTTTTTTACATATTTAATGTCATGTTTTACTTATAATTTTCAACACATATGTACTATTATCTGTTATATCTCGAACATTTTCTCATGTCATTTAAGTATTCTTTATAAACATCTTTTGTAATTGATGCATAATATCCCATTCTATAATTATATCACAAATTCTTTAACAAACCCCTAGTGTTGTTACCTTTTTTTTCTTTGCTGTTTTAAAGTGCTATAGTCAAACTCTCTGATGACCTAGTTGTAAGAGGAGGCAGGCTTCATGTCCCCGCCTCAGATCTGATAAATGACAGATCAAAACTATTTCCTCTCCTGGTAGACCTTCTTTGTTCACAATTCCATTTTCTCACAGACACAGTCTTTGTGAACCTCCCGAACACATCTTTCTGCCCTTTGGAGAAATATGTCCTTGGAATGATTCACTCACACTTCTGAACTGTAGTTAAGTGACAAAACCATACTCCAAGTCCTGGAGAAGATTCGTTTCTACAATTTGACTCAGCCATCCTGGCTCTGACCCTACATGCAGTTAGGAGAACCCAGGCCTTACCCAGGACCAGATGTCTATCTGGGGAAAATTTACAGATGGCAAGGTGACCTTTTCTAAAAGGTCATCCCTATTCCAGAGCCAACAGCCTTCCTAGATCTTAGAACAAGAGGCTCTGAGACTCATTATACAGGCTGAGATTAGATGCAGTAGAAACAAAGATGCCCATTAGTTTTCTATGATCAACAACAAAAGGCTAAGGAGTAAGTTAATAACTGTCTTCAAGCATATTAAAGATGACTATAGCATCTAGTTAATATTACATAAATAGTAGTAATCAGGTGAAACTTAGCTGAAAAGAAACAGTTCACTCATTTGGTCTAACTCCCTTATCTTGCAAACAAGGAAGCTGCAGCCCAGACAGGTCAGTTGACTTATACAAATTCACAAAACAATAATTAAGTGTAATTGGCCCTATTATTTGACCAGTCATATTTGATTTTCATTCCGTAGAATAAAAAGAAACACAAACTTTGACAGTTGCCTTCCTTTGTTTTAACATGTAAGACCCTAAAGAGGCAAACCATTTCATTAGAATCCTTACACATTTGCTTGTGAAATCCAATGGCATTCACATATACCAAGAGTAAGAAATGACGGGTATAAAATAAGAAGCTTAAGCCCATCCATACACAGGATACTGAGACTCTACTACATTTTTAGTAAAAATAATAGCTAGCATTTCCATACCAAGAACTTTACATTCCAGATCTCATTTAATACACAACCTGTGACGAAGATTATTATTATTATCCCTATTTTACATATGAGAAAACTTATCTGAGGCAGGGTTAAGAATTATCAGAAAAAAATAATGTCATTTTTCACAGAATTAGAAAAAGCAATCTTAAAACTCTTATGAAACCAAAAAGAGCCTGAATAGCCAAAGCAATCCTAAGTAAAAAGAACAAAGCTTGAGGTATCACATTACCTAACTTCAAATTATATGATAAGACTATAGTAACCAAAGCAGCATGGTGCTGCTATAAAAAATAAGAAAAAAAAATAGATACATAGAATAATGGAACAGAATGAGAACACAAAGATAATGCAATGTACCTATAACCAACTGATCATCAACAAAAAATATATGCTGGGGAAAGGACTCTATTCAATGAATGGTGCTGAGAAAATTGGCTAGCCATAGGCAGAAAAAAGAAACTGGGAACATATCTCCCACCATATACAAAAATTAACTCAATATGCATTAAAGCCCTAAATATTAAGACCTGAAACTATAAAAATCCCAGCTGCCTTTTTTCAGTTGAACAGGTGACTCTGTCTCCCAGGTGTGCCAGTCGCCAGTCGAAATGACGCCCAGATTTGTGTGAGTTTTTGTGTGGAGACCCACTGCACAGGCCGAAACAGCTGCGCTGGAGACTCGTGGTGCTTTTCCGGAAAAAAAGGTGGCTGAAACAGGGAGGCAGGTGATCTGGCTCAGCTGGTCCCACCCTCTCAAAGACCAGCAATCTGAAACACTCTGGACTGAGAGTTTCACAGCAAGCACAGCTGGACCCAGGACAGTCCAGGTCTGTCAGGGAAGGGTGACACTGCCACTACTGAGGCAGTCTGCCACTACTGAGGCAGTCTGCCATTACTGAGGCAGTCCACCATTACTGAGGCAGTCAGCCATTACTGAGGCAGTCTGCCATTACCGAGGCAGTTCTGACTATACCCTTATAAACAAAACTGCAAGGAAGTTCACATAGCAGCTGGGTAGAGCCCATGGCAGCTCAGCAACACCTCTGCTGGCAGACTGTGACTAGGCTACCTCCTCGCTAGGCAGAGCATCTCTGAAAAAAGGCAGCAGAATGACAGGAACTTATAAATAAAGCCCCACCTTCCCAGGACAAAGCACCTGGGGAAAAAAAGGTGGTTATGAGTTCCGCTACAGCAGACTTAAACGTACCTGCCCAGCAGAACAGAGCAACAGAGCTCACAGCTCAGCACTTGAGCTCCTATAAGGGACAGACTGTCTCCTCAAGCAGCTCTCTGACCCCCGTATAACCAAAGAGATGCCTCATAAAGGAGAGCTCAGACTGATATCTGGCAGGTATCCTTCTGGGACAAAGATAACAGAAGAAGAAATTGGCAGCAATGCTTACTGTTCTACAGCTGCTGGAGGTGATCCCCAGGCAAGCAGGGTCTGAAGTGGACCTCCAGCAGTCCTACAGCAGGGGAGCCTGACAGTTAGAAGGAAAACTAAGAAACAGAAAGAAATAACTTCATCAGCAACAACAAAGACGTCCACTCAGAAACCCCATCTGAAAGTCACCAACCACAAAGACCACAGGTAGATAAATTCACAAGGATGGGAAGAAACCAGTGCAAACAGGATGAAAATGCCCAAAATCAGAATACCTCTCTTCCTCAAAGGGATCACAACTCCTCATCAGCAAGGGAGCAAGGCTGGATGGAGAATGAGTCTGATGAATTGACAGAAACAGGCTTCAGAAGGTGGGTAATAACAAATTTCTCTGAGCTAAAAGATCATGTTCTAACCCAATGCAAAGAAACTAAGAACCTTGAAAAAAGGTTTGATGAAATGCTAATGAGCATAAACAGCTTAGAGAGGAATATAAATGAATCAATGGAGCTGAAAAACACAACACGAAAACTTTGCTAAGCATGCACAAGTTTCAATAGCTGAATCAACCAAGCAGAAGAAAGGATATCACAGATTGAAGATCAACTCAATGAAATAAAATGAGAAGGCAAATTAGAGAAAAAATAGTAAAAAGTAATGAACAAAGCCTCCAAGAAATATGGGATTATGTGGAAAGACCTAATCTACATTCAATAGGTATACCTGAATGTGACGGAGAGAATGAATCCAAGCTGGGAAACACTCTTCAGGATATTATCCAGGAGAACTTCCCCAACATTCAAGGCCAACATTCAAGTCCAGGAAATACAGAGAACACCACAAAGATGTTCCTCAAGAAGAGCAACCCCAAGGCACATAATCATCAGATTCACCAGGGTTGAAATGAAGGAAAACATGCTAAAGGAAACCAGAGAGAAAGGTCAGGTTACCCACAAAGGGAAGCCCATCAGACTCACATCACATCTCTCAGCAGAAACCCTACAAGCCAGAATAGAGTGAGGGCCAATTTTCAACATCCTTAAAGAAAAGAACTTTCAACCTAGAATTTCATATTCAGCCAAACTAAGCTTCATAAGTGAAGGAGAAATAAAATCCTTTATGAATAAGCAATTGCTCAGAGATTTCATCAACACCAGGCCTGCTTTACAAGAGTCCCTGAAAGAAGCACTAAACATAGAAAGGAGCAACTAGTACTAGCAACTCCAAAAACATACCAAATGTAAAGAGCATCGACTCAATGAAGAAACTGCATCAACTAATGGACTAAACAACCAGCTAGCATCAAAATGGCAGGATCAAATTCACACATAACAATATTAACCTTAAATGTAAATGGGCTAAATGCCCCAATCAAAAGATACAGACTGGCAAATTGGATAAAAAGTCAAAACCTATCAATGTACTGTATCCAGAAAACCCATCTCACATGCAAGGATACACATAGGCTCAAAATAAAGGGATGGAGGAAGATCTACCAAGTAAATGGAGAGCAAAAAAAAGCAGGAGCTGCAATCCTAGTCTCTGATAAAATAGGCTTTAAACCAACAAAGATCAAAAGAGACAAGGAAGGGCATTACACAATGGTAAAATGATCAATGCAACAAGAAGAACTAACGATCCTAAATATATACGCACCCATTACAGGAGCACCCAGATACATAAAGCAAGTTCTTAATGACCTACAAAGAGACTTAGACTCCCACACAATAATAGTGGGAGACTTTAACACTTCACTGTCAATATTAGACAGATCAATGAGACAGAAAATTAAGAAGGATATCCAGGACTTGAACTCAGACCTGGACCAAGCAAACATAATAGACATTTAGAGAACTCTCCACCCCAAATCCACA